TCATTGATACTATGATACTCAAATAAATGCTGAAGCTTGTATCTTTGCATCAATGACTTGTACAGGTTTAAGAACTTTATTGCTCATGGCATCCCAGGAGCATTTGGATTCCCAGTACTTAATGTCTGTTTGAGATCCAGCTGGTTTTATCGTATCTCTCAATACATTTCCTTGGAATATGCACAAGTTACGTGATAAATTTTCCTTTCCCTTATCAGTAGTGCAGCAGTAACATTTGTCACCTATCTATCCATAAAGAGACCATTGCCTGCTCAATATTAGGGAAAGACAAAGAGATCCCTTTCCAACCCTTGGAATTAGCCCATCAAACCTAAGACAAGATGAGTACATTGAAACAACTGTCTACTTTCCTTTTCATAATTGTTTTTCATTGACTTTTTGGAATTTACTTGTTGAAATATTTTGATATTGGTATTTTGCTTATTTGTGGAAAGACATTCGATGTCATGATGGCCCATTTCTTGGATTTTGTCTCTTGGGAATTTGGAGGTGCCTAGTATTTGTATTCTTCCCACACTTCAACTACTCTATGTTATTTAGCTTGATGGACACATATAGTATTTTTTCTCTCCTCCCCTATACCTCTACCCCAATTCTACTTTTCACTTGAAAGCTTTTTTGATTAGGTTTGTAATTTAGACAAACATATCCTTTTCAGCCTTTGTTACATGTATTCAGCGTCTGTCCAAGAGCCTTTCATTCGTGTATTTGAAGTTGCTATTCAAGAATCCAAATCTCTTATATCTCATCTTTTTAACATACTATTCACTTCCCAAATTTGCTTTCCTCTTTTGAAGTTTTAACTTCAATTAAAAACAGTGATGAAAACATTACTATTGCCCTTAGAACCTTTCTTACCCGAGATTTAATGCAATGTGTTTGAGATTATGGGAATATTAAATATATCCATGATTCATAGACCTCTAGGAGCAAGCACACAGTACATCGCTAAGTCTGTTCACAGCACTACCAACATTTTGAATTTTATTTTTTGGTCATCTTTAGCAATTTGATGGGTGTGAAGTAAAATCTTGGAATTGCTTTAATTTATATTTCTCTCATTAATAGTGATTTGGAGCATTTTTTAAAATATGGTTATAGATATCCTGGGTTTTCTTCCATTGAGAACTGCCTATTTATAGCTTTAGGCCATTTATTTCTTGGGAAATGGCTTTTATTCTTATAAGTTTGAATCAGTTCCTTATATATTTTGAAAATTAGACCATCAGATAAACTGCAAATATTTTCCCAGTTCTTTCTCTTTTAATTTTAGCTTTACTGGATTTGTTTGTGAAAAACCTTTTGAATTTTTTATAATTAAAATTATTCACTTAGCTTCTTTGATCTTCTCTATTGCTTGTTTGGTAATGAACTTTCCTTCTATCCATAAAACCGATAGGTAATTTTCCCCATGTTTCTCTAATTTATTTATGATACGCTAAGTGATCTTGGGCAATTTACTTAGCCCTGTTTGCCTCGGTTTCCTCATCTCTAAAATGAGCTGGAGAAGGAAATGGCAAACCACTCCAGTCTCTTTGCCACAAAAACCCCAAATGGGGTCATGAAGAGTCAGACACAACTGAAATAACTGAACAGCAACAAAGCTGAGAAAACAATTTACGTGGACCATTAGGCTAGAGAGTGAGCTCAATTGCTGTAGCCTGATGTGGCTGCTCAGACTGAGGGGTTTTTAGGGCCATGGTTTGAGCTAGTCCTGTGCTCTTTCCTCCAGCATTATGCTGCCATCCACACATTGGTTCTCTAGGAAAGTAAAGTTTTAAATAATAAACAAACAAACAAACAAGCAAACAAACAAACAACCTTTGGAAATTCCAACAGCTGTAGCTCAAATGATTCTCTTTCTTTATCTAATATGGATCTTGATGATGCCAGTCTGTTTCATATGATTTTATGAGTCAAATATAGATCTTCAAGCTAAAGTTGTTGTCTTTCTAACTCGTGTTTTTTTTTTAAAGGGCTAACTTTGTTTTGACATAGAACCAATGCACCATGCCTACACAGTTAGCTAACTTGCAAATTAGTTTCCTTTATGATGCAAAATTAATTTTTTCTTTACTAAATTCCAATTTGTATGCCTTATCTTGGTAAGGAGGTGGTTATGGATTTTCAAAGGCCAACAGGGTATAGACAGGTCCTACTAAGCTGGAAGGGCTATCTAACTGCCCCTTGTGACAGATCTTCTGTTGTCTAAAGATGAGTTTTTCTTCTTTTTGTTTTCTGCAGCATCTCATGAAAGTGTCTATTAAGACACAGAAGTTCTTTGACCTGCTATGGTGGGAGAGTACCTGCCCTTGAGGCCACCAATCTTTAGACAGTGCTGAAGTAATTAACTATCATTTGCAGATTATAAATATTTTAACATTCATTAAAATGGGGTCAATTGTATACAATTGTTTGCAAGCTAGTTTCAAGTTTGTTAAGTATGATAAAACCGTGTTATCTGAGATTTCAGTAATTCAGAATTTGTAATAATTTGAACAGGGGCTATTATGAAGTTTACTTTTAATACCGACAAAGAAAATTTTCTATGTAAGAAAATTCTTAGTATAAACTAGATTGTAAAGGGAGTATTTCCCTATTGGGGAGAACAAATTGTTTTCAACTATTTTAGAAGCACTCATTTGCATATAAACAATGAAATTAAGTATAAAGCAGAAGCAGGTCCTTTGATATGCTAACTACAAATTGTTCTTATCCATTAATTAGAGCCATTCCTCTGTTAGGGTATACTCAAGCCCATTTCTAGATCCAGTAACTCTATGTAAATTATAATACAGAAAGCCATAGGATATTGTCAGTCAATAAGCATTTATTAAGCACTTATTTTTTGCCAGGCACTTTGTTAAATCCTGGAGATACAAGGGAAAACAAAAATGTCTTCCCTGCTCTCAAGGACTTCATATTTGGATATTGGGGATGACATACAAATAATGGCACCTATTATATATTTTAGCTTATATATGTTAAATATAAATATTTTTGCATGTTAATTTATGAAATTAACTGAGAGAAAAGAGGACAATAATGGAACTGAAGAGGGGTACACCATATGTCTAGGGCTTAGAGAAGGAAGAGCAAACATTGACCAAGAAGATGAGTCAGAGAGGTTTAGGTAGTAATAAGTTACAGTAAAATGGTATTTTAATTCAATTCAATTACCTACTATTCCATGCCTATGTGCTTAGCACTGGGGATACAGGGGAAAAAATGAGATAATAATAGTTAGCTTTTAGGTAGAATTTTAAGGTTTTCAATGAGCTTTATAACCATTAAAGTATAAAATATTTTGTTCTTTTCCCTGGGAGGTAGATGCTATTGTTATCTTCTATTTACATATTAAGAAACTGAGTTAAATGACTTGTCCAACTAGTAGGTATCTGAGACTAAATTTGAACTCAAGTCTTTTGGAGTTGTCACCCCCCCCAAAACAGAGTTTGTTCTAAGAAAGAGACAAATGAATTAGGGTGTGGGTCCATGTTTTTATTTCTCTCAAGCTGGCTTGACACGTATTGCATGGAACTTACAGTCCTGGCTCAATTTGGGCCTGGGGGGTACAGTTACTTGCCCTTCGAGGAGTAGGTGCTCCCAAGGGGTGCCAATCAACTCTAATAGGTCAACACACCAGGAGGTGGGCTATATTAAAATGAGGTCTTGAGTATGTGACTTAAGTCACTTAAAACTGGTACAATACCTTTTCAACAGGGGTTAATAACATTCCACCATCATTCTACCTCCTGACAGAGGAAATACCTGTTCTATCAGACACCCCTCATCCCCACCACCACTCTCAGCCTTGGGCTATCTAGGCAGAAGAATCTGTCTCCACCCAAACCTGAGCAGATTAAATCAATTCAGGCCTTGGTTGGAGTTTGACCTGGGTAAGACTCAATGCAGTCTTATCAGTAATGTCCAACTTTGGGGGAAGCTCTGAGAATCATTTTTCACCGAGTCTAGATCTAACCCTTTCTCTACTGAGTTACCTAGCTGTTTCAAAACAAAAGTACTTGCTTTAAAGGGGGCTTACATTTTAAAGGGAAGTGGAGTGGTAAATCAACAACAAACACAGATAAGTAAATAGAAAATATGTACAAGCTAATTTGGGGAGGACTCTGTGAGGTAGGTAAAGTAGTATCATTCCAATTTCACAGATAAGAAAACAAGTTTGTCATTTGCCCAGGGACACATTGCCAAATAGTACATTAATGAGATAGAGCTAGGGGCTGGACCTGCGATTTTACTGGATTAGAGAACTTCAGAATGAGAAAATTCCTCCTACCAATGTGAGTTGATATTTTCTCTGCAATTTGTCATTTTAGAAAACTGCCAAGCTTACTGAGAGGGTGAGTGAGCGCTCAAGCTCACACAGCCTATATGTGTCAAAGGCAGGGCTTGAATTCAGGTATCTTCATCTTTAAGGCAAGCATTCCATCCACTATGTTACATTGTCCTTGGGGGTGGTAACAGACTTAATTGGGGGCAAACTCAGGAAGGTGTCCTTGCATTTCATCACATGACATGTTCATTCATCAATTCAATTCAACACGAATTTATGAAACGCGGGCAAATGTTGCTTTTGCCCTTAATGGAAACTCTTCAGTGACGTATTAGATGCTCACAACGAAGGGGCAAGGTCGCTGCTAGTCACTGAAGAAGGCTCCAGGATAGGAGTTTTTGTCATCTACATGGAAAAGGAAAGGGCCAGGCTTATGGAAATGAGCAAATACATAAAGGTAAATTGCAGCACACTATCAGAGTGGGGTGGTAAAATGTAGAGCGTGTGATGCAGTTTTGCCCTGATATTCTCCAAACCAGAGTTTCCACAGGAATCTCTATGACCATGGAAAAAAGCCAAAAGGCTTCAGAATATGCCTGCATGTCTCATGAGGCCAATAGATCTTAATGCAAACCACTGAGAGTATGCTAAGAGGAAACAGGGGAATTTTTTTTTTTTTTTACAGTTTCCTCCCATCATCTTCAAACTCACTAAGAAGCAGTTTGTTCAGTCTCTCATGAATTTCCCCCAGGAATATGCCAACCCATCTACCACTTGAAGGTATAGATGATTGTAATCCATTTTGTACAGGAGAGTAGAGGTAATGCTATTTGATTCCTTCTTTTTATTTCCATTGTTTTTATGTCTTAATTAAATGCTTTTGCTATTGTATTAATGCTAAAGAGCATTGTGCTGGGTGGGGGCTTATACTGTGATTTGTAAAAACTGACTACTAGAAAACTGCCCTTACTGGACCTGGGAGGCCCCCAATCAGAGCTCTCAATTACTTCAGGGCCCAGTTGTTGCATGGATTAAGTTTCCCTGCCATGTACAAGGAACTTAATAAATAACAACTCCTGTAACTATAGGCAGCTTCCCGCACATGAAACTCTCAGGTGGCCCTGTGAATCACAGCTCAAGTTTGTAAGTGCTCAGAGCCCTGATCTCCTCTAGATGGGGTAAAGAGAGTGACGGTAATGGTTAGTGCCTTTGAAGGCCAGGAATGATGATTCAGGACCATGCTTGGGCTGCAACTAGAGTGTCAAAAGGTAAATATGTCTTCTGCCTGATGAAAGCTTCTGTCTTCTGCCTATATTGCCAATTTTCTCTAGATTCTCTTACCAAAATATCTCAGAGTAAGAATCATGGAGTGTCTGGACTGGAAAGAGACTTAGAAATAGCCTTAATCTATTCCTGCCATTTTACAGATGAATAAACTAAGGAGAATTAAAGTCCCAAAGTCATACTGTAGTGTGTTTGTGGAGGAGTAGGGAAGGAGATAACACAGGGCTTGGGCAAGCCTCACATATCAAATATCCCCTCCTCCTCCTAGCATTCTTTGCTGTTTAAGCTAACCATGTGTGTGGGTATGGGTAGGGGTATGGGTATGTGTATGAACTAGTGAACAAGTATGGTATGTTTGTTCATTCATTTGTTTACTGTAGATTTGAAGCAACTTTGCACAGAGGCGTCAAACTCACCACCCCCAGGCCGCAGGCCATTGCAAAACTTCTGAGTGCTGCCAGAACCAGAATGTAATTTTGGTAAAATGTATTTGGGAAATGATTAACCAAATAAATAAAAACACAATACCATATAGATAATGCTAATCTGTGCTTTTTCTAAGTCAATATGAATCCCATACAGACCAGTTTCTATTTTGAGTTTGACACTACTGCTTAATTAGCAATGTGCTACCCTTCTCTGGGGACTGTGACCCCCTGGGTGTATATAGTCCTTCAACCCTGTTATCATTCTTTCTCAGAGCTTTTGTTAGGTGTCTAGATACAGCACAAAAAAGGACTTTAACCTTTGTCTTATGGGTCAGATTTTGTTGTTGTTGAGTTGTTTCAGTCCTGTCAGACTCTCTGGGATTTCATCTGGGATTTTCTTGGTAAAGACGCTGGAGTGCTTTGCCATTTCCTTCTCCAGCTCATTTTACAGATGAGGAAACTGAGGCAAACAGAGTTAAGTGATTTACCCAGGGTCACATAGCTAGGCCAGATTTTAACTCGGACTCTATCTGCTGTGCCACCTAGCTGCCCTTTATGGGCCAAACTCACTCATTTAAAGAGGACTCAAAAGCACAGCTGATTCTTCATTTCCCACCGGTTGTATTCATGCTTTTATTTGACTGGACAATCATCATGGCTTCACTCCCTCCAGGAAAAGAGCATCATCAGAAAACTAATTGTCATGGAGATAGCATTTGCTTTGGTACTCATACCTGATCATTACCAGCCTCTCTGCCCCCCCATCCCATTTTCAGTTTCCTTTTGTGTGTTGTCTTCCCCTATTAGATTGTAAGCTCCTTGAGGGCAGGGACTATCTTCTTTTTTCTTATTTGTATACCCAGTATTTAGCACAGTGCCTGGCACATAATAGGAGCTTAATAAATGCTTATTTTACTGTATTATATTGTAATTCAGGGGCAACTAGGTGGCACATTGGATAGGACACTGGGCTTAGAGTCAGGTAGAATCATCTTCCTAAGTTCCATTCTGGCCTCAGACACTTAACAGCTCTGTGACCCTGGGCAAGTCACTTAAATCTGTTTGCCTCAGTTACCTCATCTGTAAAATGAGCTGAAGAGGGAAATGACAAACCACTCCAGTATCTTGGCCAAGAAAACTCCAAATGGAGGTTGAATAAGACTGAAAAAAGACTGATTGTAATACGGTATTTATTATACTATACTGTATTGCAATAACATGATAAGTTTAGGGCAAACATATGGCTGAAAGGTTAAGTATACATTTACCTTATCATACTCTGGATTCAAAATCACGTTCAAACTCTACTCTTCAAGGAGACGAAAAGCTATTGTGCTGTATCTCTTTCTGGCTTACTGAACTGTTTAAATATACACATACACACACACACACATACACTGAAATGTTAATTTGTCTCTGACTTTTCATCTGTTCCTCTTATTCTTATGCTGATAGAGCCTGTCCAGAGTGAGAGGAGTACTGGGGGCAGAATGCACATCTAACCTGGTAGTTAATGGCTTAGTGAGAATAGACATGATGATGGACTTCTGCTAGCAACTTCATACACATTCTAATTCAACAAATATTTATTGTGTCTACCTTGTGCAGAGGGAGTGGATATCCTCCAGCTATCCTTGGGTAGATAAAATTACAACCATCTTGTTTTCTTGCTTTTGTATCTCCACTGCTTAATACGATGCCTGTTACACAGAAAGGACTTAATAAATGTTCTCTCTCTCTCTCTCTCTCTCTCTCTCTCTCTCTCTCTCTCTCTCT